GATTTTCCAAAGCAGTACTTCTCAAAGTGGGTTCCACAGAATGCTAGCCCTTTGATAGATTTTGCAGGAAGAAGAGTTGCATGACCATGACCAATGTTTGGGAAACATTGGGACAATACTCAGATTTCTTTACTGCAGGACTTTTTGAATGCCTTAAGGTTCTACAGCTTTCTTTGAAATCCTAAGGGAGGGGTAGAGTCTTCACCAGTATTCAGATTTATGTAATAATTGACACTAGTGTTTTGTTGAACATACTTTGGAAAACAGTCTTTAAGGCAGAGAGAATGGTTTCTAGCCAAAACTTGTAGAATAAATACTGCAAAGATGAAACTACATTAGGAAACTTTGGTCTTTGAGGAAACTTTGAGAGATAGAAAAAGACATCTGGACTGTTTTCAAAGATTTCAAATCCTTCAGCCCCCACAGATACATTCCAACTACTGAAATCAGTTGTGAGAAGTAAAAGAAAAGGTTAAAGTTTCTATTAGATTGGAAATAAGCAAGTCATATATCCAAAGAAAAGTTTTTAAAACTTGAGACCAAAATACGATCTCCGCTTAAGACTAAAATAGATTTTCATCCCATTGTGATTTTTCTATTTCAAGCAACAGAAGCCAACACTGACCATTTTATGGAAAAAAAAAAAAAAAGTGGATGAACTAGTGGGACTTTTACTGGGAAGAAAAATGAGAGAGTAGAGACCCAGGTTCAAAACCAGGACAGGGAAGCTGAGGCACCAGAGCCTGAAATACATACTATCTTTTAAACTCGACCATGGCTGAAATGAATTTCTTTGAACATTTCTTCCCATCATTTCTCTGCTAAAGAGACTAAAGTCCCAGGAGAGGGAGTCCAGTTGGAACCTGCCTCTTGGCCACGGGAGAGCTGGCCAGCAAGGATACACAAGTGGGAAGATGCATTACCTAACATAAAATGAAGGGTTGGCAGAAAGAGAAAAATGAATGGTGAGCAGCTGAATACCAGCAAATTCCTGCTTCATGTCTTCTGAGGACAAGCTATATTGAATTAGCCTAATTGCCTGGGGGCTGGTAAAGCTCTGAAATGGCATAGAACTGTATCATTGATTCATTGTGTGTATTTAATTCATTCATTTATTTGTAAATATTCAATATTAACCAATAAACACAAGGCACTTAAGCGCACAAATCACATTAATCTCCTGCTTAAAATCTTCAATGGTGTACACTTAGGATAAAATACAAGATCCCTAATGTGGCCTCTAAGACTCTAGAGCATCTAGATCCCCAACTCTCTTTCATCCCTGTCTCCTCCTGGCCATTTCAACCTGCTCCCCAGCCCCTACCCGGGGTCCGCACTTCCCACACACTGTTGAAGCCTGAATAGCCTGAGTAACTCCTGAGTGATTTGGGCCTCGGGTTAAATGTTGGTTCCTCCGAGAACTTTGCTAAAACCTCAGTCTGATTCTGTCTCTCCCATTGTTCTGGCCCCCAGAGCCCTGGATTCTTTCCTCATAACACAAATTACATTCTCCTGTTTTTCCTGTGGATTTCTGTAGGACTCTCTTCCTCATGAGATGGAGTATCTCCAAAACGCAAAGACCGTCATCTATTCTGTTCTGCTCTAAAATGTAATATCGATCACAGACCAGCGTCAGAACAGTGTTGGCACACAGCAAATACTGATCAGTGAGGATTCAGAAGTGAGTTGGGACTCTATTTACATGGGGTCTGTGTTCTAGGGACGAACATTATGATGTCCGCTGTGGAAAGCCCAGTACTGGAGAGTTGTAGAAAGTACCAAAGGAACACCCTGAGGGAGGGTGACTTTGGCCATGAGGCAATTCTACAAAGTTTTCCTTCAGGCCCTCAAAGAGTTCTGCGAGAGGGTGAAGTGGGAGGTAGACAGCACCAGGTAGCAGAGGCACAGAGGAGGGTAAGAGGAAGGAGAAGGAAGTCTGAGGAGAGCAGCCTTCAGCAGGGAGTTACTGGATTATTTATAGCTATTGCCCCATCTGCAGTCAGTATCCAAGACTTGGATGAAGACAAGAAGAATAGGGGCATCTGGGTGCCTCAGTTGGTTAAATGTCTGACTCTTGATTTTGGTTCAGGCCATGATCTCACCGTTATGAGACTGAGCCCCGTGTGGGGCCCTGTCCGTGTGGAGCCTATTTGGGATTTTCTCTCTCCATCTCTCTGCTCCTCCCTGCTCATGCATGTGTGCGTACTCTCTCTCAAAAGAAATAAACTTAAAAAAAAATAAAGAATAATTATGAAATCTGCACATGACACAGAATTGGAAAGAATGATTAATATGCTATCTTGTCTCGAAATTCTGTTTCATCAGGTTTGCTTTAAAAATGCAGTCTACATTACATTCCTTAATGGAACATTTGCTTTGTATTAATGACTAGTGTCTTTGTGTTTAAGTATATTCGTAATTTAATTCAAATGACTTGGAAAATGGTGTTTCTAAGAGAACAGATCAATGGCTTGGTATTCTGGAATGTTGAATACATTACAAAGCTAATTCACAATGCCAGAGTTAAAAACAAAAACGTAAAACCCAAATGTTTAAGATTCCTTTTTGCAACTAATGTGCTGTCAGCCTTTCAGTTGTTACCATAACATGATTTTTATTAACCTCTTAGTTTTCTTTCACTTGAACAATCAGTCCTCAATTCTACTTGAAGCACGCTATGGAAAGACCATTAACCAATTGATGCTTACTCAATTCTTAAAATGAATAAAAGCCATTTTCCCTTTCTTCCCTCCATTTTTCCCTCACTTCCTCCTTTCTTCCCTTCTTCCTTCCTCTCTCCTTCCACAGACATTTATTAAGATTCTAATGTGTGCCTGGAGCTCTACCAGGTGCACGCATTTTGAATATCTAATACTTGGATTCAGGCATATTTAACCAGCTTTGTCCATGATGAACATGATTTAATGATTCAATTGGTCCATTACAGTACCCCTCCAGAAACCTCTCCTTCACGTTTTGACAGTAACAGAGTTGCCCCTACACACACACACACACACACACACACACACACGCATGCACACACGCATGCACGCACACACATTCATCATGGAAAATGACTCACCACCATGCAGTTTTTGCTTAGCTTATTGTTCGCTCCTCGCTCCTACTTTGGCTGAGAGCAGAATAAAAATGTACTCAGCTGACTCTTGAGTGAGTCAGTAAGCCTCCTTTTCATTTCCTAGTTAGAAATGAAGGCGGAATAAGCAGTTCTCCACCCAGCGCTTGTAATTAAACCCACTAATTTAAAGAAAATACACATAGACCTTAACATGTCAATGAAAATGGTTATAGGTTGTATCTAATAAAAATGGGAATCTAACAAGCACATAGTTCTGTGTATGACATATTAAATAAGACCAGATGTATTTAATTCAGCTGAATCACTGTAGACCTGCTTCCTCATCCTCTGCTGTTTTTAGAAGTGTTTTCCTTTCCTTGGTTCATTGTTTTCTGTATTTAGGAGACCACCCCGGTCTTCTTGAGTAAGGACCGAAGACAAACATTTGTTAGCACTGTGCTTGATGCTCCCCAGCACCCCACTGACACATGCAAACGTATCCTGGAGAAGATTATTTAAGTCTGAGTTTATATAAGTCATTTATTTTCAAATAAAGTAGGGAATTCTGTCGTCTTAGCAGAATTACTTTATAAAGCAAAACTGAGGGTAAATGTTAATAGATTGTATGAATGTAGATGGAGATTTTCCTGTTGATAAGAATTTAAGACACTGCCTCAGAGGTGTAGGAGATGAGTGAGAAGCAGCCCTGCCTGCATTTTACTTTTTTAATTTTTGAAGGTTTTGTTTATTTTAGAGGGAGAGCATGAAAGTGGAGGAGAGGGAGCATGGGGAGAGAGGTGGCAGGGTCCATGCTCAGCACAGAGCCCTACTTGGAGCTCATTCCCACAATGCTGGAATCATGACCTGAGCTGAAATCAAGAGTTGGACACCCACAGGGGAACTTCCCCACAGGAGAGAGCACAACAGCATTTCTTCCCTGCATGCATGGCACATTGCTCTTCCAACCAGAGTCAAGAGAGGGAGGCAGTGAGGGAGCCCCTTAGCGACTTGTGAGTGCTGCCCAGAAAGGAAGGCTGGGCTCTCTCAGTCCTTGGCCAGATGCTTGCTGAGCTTACGGAATGTGTGCACCTCTCCTGCGTTGCGACAGGAGTGGAAGACAAGTGAGTCTGGGGGTGGGGGGAACCCTACTGAGGCTCCCCTGGAGTTTGAGAATGGAGAGACAGGCGCCTGGAGGCTGGCTGGAACTGCCCTGAGTGGCTGGTCGAGGACAAAGGGTTCTCCCATTCAGCTGGGTAAGGCTATGCAATGTTTCTCACGGACCTAGGAAACAAGGTGGAGACTGTCTACCAAAGGAGATAAAAGGGCAGGGCATCCTGTACTAAGAAAAATGGAGAGATTTGAATGAGGTGAAACCTTAAAGTCAATTTCGGCCAGACTGGAATTTTCCATAGCTGAAAATGAGACTCTGCTCACATCTGAAAGTGACCCCAAAGGTAAGGGATCTGCCTGAAATGCCACTGGGGGCAGAGAAAGGAGATCTTGTTTGAAGACAGAGGTGGGTGGGGGCACTGGGCTGGCTCAGACAGGAGAGCCTGTGACCTTTGACTTTGAGATCCTAATTCGAGCCTAACGTTAGGTGTAGAGATTACTTTTAAAAAATTAAAAGTTTTAAAAAAATAAAATAAAGGCTGAGGTGGGAGGAGAAAGCTGTTTACTGATTATAATCACTGACTCAGCACATTTAATGGAGCAGTTACACAATTTATTTTAAAAGTAAGCTATGACACCACGTATGGAACATTCTTGCCAAAACAAACAAAAATTCTGAACCTGAATTTAATCAAGCCTCTTGAACCAACCCCCAGATTATGGGAAAGGTGAGAGGTGGAAGCGCACGCTAACGACACGAGGAGGATGCCAGCAGCCAACTCCAGAATATGAGAAATGGCACAAGACGGCAACTTTTGTATTTCACAAGCGTGATGATTGGGCGTTCAGCCACTGTGTGGGACGTGCCTCCCTCAAGCCTTGTCACAGCATAATTGGCACCTTACCCATCTGGGGCACCTGGGTGGCTCAGTCAGTTGAGCATCAGAGCTTGACTCAGGTCATGATCCCACAGTTTGTGGGTTAGAGCCCCGCATCGGGCTTGCTCATCAGCACAGAGCCCGCTTTGGGGCCTCTGTCGCCCTCTATCTCTGCCACTCCGCATGCTTGAGCTCTCTCAAAAATAAATGAAACATTAAAAAAAATTTTTTTTTATTTGGCACCTTACTCATCTGATGTGAAGAGAAAGAAAAGTCCCACAGGGACAAAATCCCCTTCTTCTTCACAAGCACATGGCATAAAAGAAAAAAACTGAAGAGGAATTGCCATAAGGTAAAAGAGACCTAAGAGAATGTCTAAATGTGTAATGTGCGCACTGTGTTTGAATTTTTATTTGAACAACTATAAAAAGATATTTGTGAGACAATCAGGGAAAGTTGAACTTGGATTGGATATTAAATATATTAAGAAATTGTTGTAAATTTGGGAAGGCATGATAAGGCCATTAAAGTTTTTCTTTCAAGTTCTCATGCACTAGAGAAACATTATAAGGTATTTATAGGTGATGAGATATGATGTCTGGGATTCATTTTTAAATACTATAGGATAAGGGTACCTGGGTGGCTCAGTCCGTCAAGCATTGATTCTTGGTTTTGGCTCAGGCCATGATCTCATGGTTCATGGGATCAAGCCTCACACTGACAGCATGGAGCCTGCTTGGGATTCTCTCTCTCCCTCTCTCTCTGTCCTTCCCCTCCTCGTGCATGCTCTCACACTCTCTCTCTCTCTCAAAATAAATAAATGAACCTAAAAATAAAAAAAAAATAAGTTACACAGGATAAAAGAAAAATAAAGTGAATTTGAGGAGAGGATTGATGACAAAAGAATGGTAGAATGGGAATAGTTGTTGAAGCTGAGTGATGAGTACATGAATGCTGCATTATACCATTCTAATTTGATATATGGAAAATTCTCCATCATGAAAAGATGGAAAGTTAACAAATTAAAAATATGTTTAGGTATCAAAAAATTTTAAGGGTCTGTGGTGTACAGCAGAATGTAAAAACTTCAAATGCAGAAGTTCAACTTAGTTTTGAATGCTGGGTACAGCTGTCATCAGTTATGTGACCTTAGGCAAGCCACTTAGCTTTCTAACCCCCATTTCTCCCATCTCCAAAGTGAGAAGAATAATAAGGCCTATTATTATTGCTGCAAGGGTTTAATGAGATAATACACATAAAACTTAACAAAGTACAGGGTTGCTACAAGTATTAGAGAACTAAGTAATCTCTGCAAATAGGCAGAGAGTAAGTGCAAATATTAGCTTAATCAGATTTAATTTTCACTTCTCTCTCTGTTTCCATTTTAAGCTACTATCTCTGATCCTATAGTTGTCTTGTTACTTTTAAGTCTGAACACTGCAGTGCTGAAGTGAAAATTAAGAAGAAATTCTCAGAGGTGGAGAACTGGTTTTCTATCTCCTCACCTTGGAATACTGCCAGACTTGACCTTTGATCAGTTGGAGTTCTATTGACTGCAAGTCACACAAACCAATTCTAAAAGCTTCAGGGGAAAAAAAAAGACACAGTATACAAGGACAGCCTGGATCTGGGAAGGCAGACTAAGGGGAAGCTCAGGACCAGAAACTCTAAAGATCGGAGTAATATAAAGCCATAATATCTAAATTCTTCAGGTCATGATAATCAGGATAAATGAACTTGAATTATTTGAACTCTCTGTATCACTTTGCTCAAGATTTTGGTTTTCCGAGACAGCGTCGCTGAGTGGCCTAGTTTGGGTCACATGCCCATCCATTGGTTGAAATGGGGAAGTGGACTGGGTACCGCTAGCGACTGTACCTGGTGATGGAGGGACTGTTACCTGCATCAGACCACTAGTTGTTTTGTAATAACCAGATTCTTCTGAAATACGGTTTTAGCTGGCCGGCTACCTGCTCAGCTCAACACTACATTTTCTAGCTCCACAAAAGCTCCAGGCCATGTGACTAAGTGATGGCCTATAGGATGAAAGTGAAAATATATGGCGTGTCCACATTCTGCCCATTATAGACTTAGACATATGCTCCTCTTTCCTGTGTGGCTGGAAGAAAGCTAGGATGGGAACAGCCGCCATGGACCAGGGACAAGAGGAGGGCTGCGAGATTTAGTAAATAAAAATACAGGAGGCCCAATTAAACTTGAATTTCAGATAAACAAGGAATCCGTTTTTAAAAAACCTAAGTATGTCCCATCCGACATTTGAAGACAGAGAAGTTCAACATAAATTGTTTTGAATTATGTCATAAATTAAGAATAGAGCAGGGAGCTGAATAGTATGTATGCACCGGTGAATGACCTGTATGCTAGTGTCTGTTTAGAAAAGAGTCATTTATGTTTAAATATGACCATTCTGATGGTGATATGAACAATGGTTTAGAGAGGAAGGAGATGAAGAGAGACAAGAGATAATGGTGGCCTAGACCAGTTGGCAGCATTAAGAATGGAAAAGAGTAGATAATTAGTGATATGTATCGAATATAAATACATGTGTTTTGAGAATATGCTAAATCAGTGGTTTTCACAGGGGAGGATAAAAATATGTGGGAATTTCACATCCTAAATCATATACTCTTAATAGGAAAGATTGATATTTTTGACTTCCTAGAAATAAGAAAAATTCTGCACCATGAAAAACTAAAAGAGGAATGCAAACTTGAGAACATCATTTGTAAAATATATCTTGGACAAAGGATTAATACTCCTAATATATAAAGTGTAAAAATCCAAAGGACAGAGATTAACATACAAGTAGAAAATGAGCAAAAAACATGAAAAGTCACCAAAGAGGGGTGCCTGGGTGGCTCAGTCAGTTAAGTGTCTGACTATTGACTTCCGCTCAGGTCATCATCTTGTGGTTCCTGAGTTGGAGCCTCATGTTTGGCTCTCTTCTGACAAGCAGAGCTTGCTTGGGATTCATTCTCTCTCTCTTCCTCTCTCTCTGCCCCTCCCCAGGTCTCTCTCAAAATAAATAAATAAACTTAAAAAAAAAACCCAGAAAAGTCCAAAAAATACATATTTCCAATAAACTGAAAGCATTCAAATGGTTAATCAGAACAGAAATACATATGATAACTAGATAGTATTTTCCTCCTAAATTGGCTTTTTTTTTTTTAAAGGAACAATCTCAATGTTGGTCATGTAATTTGCTTGAGTAAGGTTATCAGAAAGTGGGACTTGGAGTTTAGTTTGTCTACAGTGAAGTAGCTTTGGGTGAAGACAAGTCCAGGGTAGTGCCCAGAGTGGGTCACAATTTGTGAATTGGATAACGGAGCCTATGGAATCGGGAGATCACTGTATCCAATGGATTATCAGTGTCTAACACAAGTAACAGCAACTATATGTTGTGGAGAATTGAAAACGTGCCATGCAAATGCTAAATGCTCACAAAATTCTATTAAAGGAGGTGCTAGTGTCCTTCACATCTTACCAGGAAAAATACGAAGTCTTAGAAAAATTAAATGACTTGCTAGCTTGTCCACATTGACATAGGTGGCATATCTGAGATTTAAATTACTCAACAACTCTCCGCTCTTAACTACCACGCTGTACTTCATTCATGCGTACAATATTAATTAAATATCAAGTATTAGACACTACATTAGGAAATGTAAACAAAATCCTCTTTGTGTAGCGGATCAGCTAGAGGGAGCTAGAGATAAGTAAGTAGACAATTATAATATGGGGCCATATACAGTATCTAAGAGACACACCTGAAGCCAGCGGGGTACTAGAGCTGCCTTGTGCTGGCTCTCACCAGATCACAAGAGCGGATTGTTATAGCAGCATTATTCATTATCTCCCCAAAGTGGAAACAATCAATGTTCATCAACTGATAAATGGATAAATAACTGTTGTATATCCAAACAAAAAAATATTCTTCAATAATAAAGAGAAATGAAGTATTGATATATGCTACAACATATAGGACATGTGCTAAGTAAAAGAAGACAGTCACACACACACACACACACACACACGCACACACACACACACCATATTGTATGATTCCATTTATAGGACGTGTCCAGAAGAGGCAAATCTATAAAGGCAGAAAATAAATTAGTAGTTGCCTAGGACTGGGGCTGGGGGACAGTTGGAGGTTAGTGAGTGTTAATAAGTACAAGGTTTCATTTTGGGGAGGTGAAAAATGTTATAAAATTGTGGCGGCAGTTGCACAGCCTGAATATATTAAAATGGACAGAGTGGCCATTTATATGGGTGAATTGTATAATATGTGAATTATATCTTAATAAAAGTTATTTTAAAACAAGTTGATTGTGAACATCTCTTCCCAACTTTGCATTCAATGACATGTTGTTGGGAGTAACGTTGCCAGATTTAGCAAGTAAAAATATAGGACAGCCAGTTAAATTTGAATTTTGGATAAATAGCAATACTTTTAAAATATTAGCATGTTCCATGCAATATTTGGGACATATTTATATCAAAACTTATTTCTTGTTTATCTGAAGTTCAGATTTAACTGGGTGTTCTGTATTTTATCTTGCAATGCAGGTAGGAACATTGACACAACAGAAGTAAATTCTGCAAATCAGATCCCACTTCCCTCCCCAGAGAGCTAATTGTTGTTAAGTGTCTGCCAGCACACCACTGCCTAAACCATTAAAAAAAGAGAGAAAGACTAAAAGTTAAAGGATGTAAAAAAATATACTAAGCAAATACTAACCAATACAAAGATAGTATGACTATATTCATATCAGACAGAATTTAAAAATACTTAAACTTGGATGGTAATAAAAATATATATCGAACATACTGGAAAGGAATTCTTAGAGGAAAACGCATAATTCTCCATGCTTACATTAGAAAGAAAAATATACCAAAATGTTAATGAGCAACACCTAATCTCAAATCTATGAGATTGGGAGAGCCAAAGAATAGAACCAAATATAATGGGAAAAATGGAAATAGTAATGATAAAAAATTTAAAAGGAAAAG